ACACACACACACACACAATCACACACACCATCCTGTCTTTTCCCATTGGCCCTGCCGGTACAATTAGCCTGAATGGACTGCTGGGTCCTGCCTTCCAATGGGAATGATCTGAGCACCCTCATGACAAGGGAACAAAAGCAAGGCAATTATTATAAGAGCACTATGTGTTCCTGCCGAACACAGCATGTCAACGTTAAGAAGAAAAAAGCAGGGAAAACAAAAGATATTGCTCAGAATAATGCATGAGACATTTGAGTCCATGCAGGGTTGGATTGGGGAGTGTGGGTGGAGGGATATGGCATTGGTGATGGGGGGGGGTGATATTGTGTGTGTGTGCCCATATTGCAGTGTTGTAAAGAATGCTTTTGTCGTTCTAAAGGTTCGCTGGGCTCCTTTGCTTCTTCTCCTTCTTCTCCTTCTATTTTTTTCCCAAGTTCCATTCTTCCTCACACCTTTGAGCGTTTGTGTGGCATTGTACCATGGAGCTGGCTTGGGTCCCTGCTCCCTAGACCCGGTCTGCCTCCTGGCCAGCTGGCTCACGCCCCAAGATCAGATACTGCCAGCCGGGGCATGGCTCAGAGGCAAGGTCTCCAGAAAGCTCCGAAGCCAGGGGAGCTTGTCCCCCCCAAGCATGAGGGAGCCTGAATTGTTGTTGTCAAAGTTTAGGACAAGGCAGGTGGGGGGTGAGGTTGGTATATGTAGTGAGCCAACAAATGGACGTGGATAGGTGTTTATGTGCTTTGTGTATGTGTGAAACAGGGAGGTCAGCATATGTCCTCTGCTTCCCCTGAGCACAGGGTTAACCTCGGCTTCTTATCTCCGGTTGCAGTAGTGCAGAGGTATGAGGTCTGCCAAGCAACCCCCGGGCAGGTGAGGGAGTCGATGCCAATCTCCCTTCTCCCCTGACATGGTCCCATGGGTCGTCGCTGAGGGATTTGGTGTCCCGTATCCACGGGAGCGGAGCGAGGAACACATACAGGGAAGGAGGGAGGGCGAAAGAGAGAGGAGTCGATGGAGAAGTTTAGATCGGCGCTTCTTGATTGCTCGCTGTAGCTGTTTGGACCCAGTGAACTCGTGGCGAGTGGTCCAAGACATGGAATTAAGACTTCATTATGGGAGGTCATTAACTCCAGCCCGGTTCCTCCACAGGATCAGTTGGCAGGTTTACTTCAGGACACAACTCTTTCATGAGGAGCTGTCAGTCAGGGCGCTGCTGGACCTGGTCCAGACATTTTCCACATTCACTCACAAGTGTGTGTTGTAGTCAGTGGGCCTTGCTGCCTCTGTTTGACATGTGATGCTAGTAATAATGTATGCTTTATTAATAAAAAATTATTCATAATTATCCATATTCAAGTCTCAGCGAGAACAGACTCAGTGCCGCAGAGCCCAATAGTCCATCATCTCACCCCTACCCCTCCGCCGCCCTCCCACACCTCCTTAACCTTTCCTCACGAGCTGAGACTCAGGCCTGAGGGATGGCTGTTACATGTGCACACGCCTCTGCTCATGTTAATGCCACACATGCTCTCTGCCGAGCCCTTGTCCTTCCACGCCGTGTGGTCTTTGTCGACAGCGGCTTTGAGTAATGAGCTCTGGAGCTGCCTGCCTGCTTCCATGGCCTCTTCCCTGACTTGGTGGCGCAGGTGGAGACACGCTGAAGCAGCTCTTTATCCTTGTGAGCCCACCCAGGTGTCCTGGCTGCTGATACTCACCAGCAACCTTTCCACTGCGGGGTCAGGCGAGGCGTGTCTGGGCCAGCTAACACTGGATGAAAAGAACAATTCTTTCTTTAAGAGGAGCTCACTTGGAATAAGGGATGTTGATGTATGTGCTCAGTCCTATGGAAGCCCAATGATCTAACTTGTATGCAGCGTAGGAAACATACTGTAGAAGTGATGCTGAAGGGACGTCAGTGGTCCTCAGTGATCAATCGTTTGTTTACAGTCAAATATTTATTTCATCATTCAAAGTACTTTTGCCAGATGAGTAGACTTCCTTCTTGACTTCCCATACACCAGCTGTCTCATCTGAAGGTCCATTACTGTCTGTTTCTGCAGCATTACAGATGTTTCATAAGAACAGAAAATTGGTCATCTATGATTCTGTGACAACTGTTCTGACAAGGATCGCATTGGTATGACTGCTACTTAAGTGACCTTGAGATGACATCGGTTTGCCAACTGTACAAAAGTTCATGCAGCTGATGTACTAAATCTCAGCTGAACCTTAATTTTGGTATTTACTCCGTTACAACCCCTTCTTCATTATTCTATGGTTCATAAGAAGTGTGGCTATGAATCAGAGACGAAAGGTTGTTAATCCAACAGATTTTTTTGTTTGTTGATTATTGTATTCTGAGGAATTGTGTAATAGAAATTATCTAGATATGTCGATTGGAGGAAACAAAACATTTGATAACATTTTCTGACATTTGAGAGGCTCGTAAATCACTAATGACATTAAAATTAAGTTGCAGCTACTGTGTAATAACATCAGCGCTGTTACTGTTTCACATTAATCAATGTGATGGAATGTCAAAACTGTCAACCCTGGATCAGTTATACCCACCAGCTCTTGACACCAAATGGTTTAACTGTGACTTATTAAATGTGAAAGTTGTAACCAAGTCATCTAATCAGGGAAGCAGCTGAGCGCCTACGCTCATGGTCAGTTTTATTTTCTGACTTCACCCTGCCTGTTTATCGTGCTGTCATCGTATACTCATTGCTGCGTGATGCCTCTGTTTCTATGCTCGGAGCTGTCGAGGCAAGTAAGAACGTACAGTGCAGAACGAGGTGAGGTTAGTTACTTGTAGCCCTGAGGGGCCTTTACAGCAGTCGCAGGTATGTCAATCACTTCAGATGGATTTCAGAGTGTACACAATGTGTACTTGATACTTTACCCGCAGTCTTTGGTATTGAGAAGGCTGATACTTGATGTATTGCTTACTGTGGGGTGGGGTGTGTGTCAGTGCATGGGTGGATGGAAATGTGTTTGTGTGTGTGTGTGTGTGTGCACGTGTGTGTGAACAGCTTGAGCTCCCAGCTGACAAGCTACAGAGTGGAGAGCTGGTCTGAACAGGCCCCTGAGTGAGTGTAAAGCCGTGGTTTACAGGAGGAAGAGGCGTGAGGCGCCTTAAAGAGGGGGCCCGTCTTTGGTGGCCACCTGTTGACATTGACACACACTAATCAGTCGGCAAACAAAGTAATTTAGCTGCTTTCAAAGGCGCTGCTCTGCTTGAGCACATTGTACCAATCTCCAGAAATAGAAACCTTTCATGTTACCTCAGGGTAATTTGGAAGACATCATTAAGGCCCTAGAAAAAAATACTGCTAGGGAGAGCCCATTGCCACCTTTGGACACCCGGGATCTCTTCATTGTGGTGCTGTGTAAAGTGGCCAGTGTCATGTAAATGGCTTTTATTTTTGCCACATCATGCTTTTTGCTGCAAGGCCACGTATTTCAATGCCGGGCTGCAGCGCGGCTGTCTCCCAGTGCCTCACAGGGGGCTTTGTGCTGTCACTCTCAGGGTGCTTACACTGGAAGGAGGCGGTGGGGGGTTGGGTAGGATGGGGGTGGGGTTCAGGTTGGGCACTAACGACGAACTCAGTGAACCCCGCAGGGGCCTTGGCCATGTCCGTCACCCTCCCACCTTTTCCACTTGCATCCTTCCTCCTTTGCTTCATCTTCCTTCTCTCTGTTCTCCTCCCTCCATCCCCCCACCCCTCTGTCCTTTTTTGGCCCTGTCACTTACAAAACTGGATCTTAGGCCAACTGGGCCTGATCCCAGATCTGGCCTGTCACAGCTGGCCTATCAGGAGCTCCCTCGGGAGGTCACCTGACACAGTGATTGAGGGAGAACAGAGAAAACAAGGGGAAAACAGATCTTTAAAGACAAAGCTGTGCCATTCTTGGCTTGTGGGTGGGTGGGGGTGATTGGGGGGGGGCTTTCTGCCTTCTAAGTGAGCATATGCTGTGTGTGAGTTTTATAAGCAAACAGTCTATAGGCCTTTCTCTTGATATAGGATAAATGTATTTGACTCACCTGTCTCTGCATCTGATAATATCATGATGTTGCCATGTGAACCACCTTCATGACATTTAAGAAAACTGGTGACAACCATGACGCCACACAAATGACCAATGAATACAAATGGCCAATTGAGATTAAACTCCTCCTCTGTTTGTTTTGTCTCCAACAGATGGGCTCACATCAGTCAAGTCCAGTCTCTACTTCCTCATCTCCAATGAGGGCAACCAGCACCTGTACGCGTCCCAGGCCAACCTGTGGCTCTATTTCCGAGTGCTACCATCTGGTCCTGAGAAGGGCCTGCGGAGGAAGGTGACTGTCAAGATCCATTACCAGGAAGCTGGGTCTTCGAGCAGTGTTGAGGGAGGACCAGGGGGTGGTGGCGGAGGGGGAACAGGCCGCTGGTCCCTGGTGGAGAAGCGTGTGGATCTGAAACGCAGCGGCTGGCATACTTTCCCCCTCTCAGAAGCAGTGCGGGCAGTATTTGGGAAAGGCAGCCGGAGGCAGGATCTGGAAGTCCACTGTGATGGCTGTGAGACATCTGGTGTGGCTCCGGTGCTGGTGGACCCAGGTGATCCGTCCCACCGGCCCTTCCTGGTGGTGCGCGCACGGCAGGTGGATGGAAAGCACCGCATTCGTAAGCGGGGGCTGGAGTGTGATGGCACCAGCGGGGGCTTATGCTGTCGGCAGCAGTTTTACATAGACTTCCGCCTTATTGGTTGGAATGACTGGATCATTGCACCAGCTGGCTATTATGGTAACTATTGTGAGGGCAGCTGCCCGGCCTACATGGCAGGAGTGCCGGGATCGGCCTCATCCTTCCACACCACAGTCGTGAACCAGTACCGCATGAGAGGGATGAGCCCTGGCTCAGTCAACTCCTGCTGCATCCCCACCAAGCTCAGTACTATGTCCATGTTGTACTTCGATGATGAATACAACATCGTCAAGAGGGATGTGCCCAACATGATAGTGGAGGAGTGTGGCTGTGCTTGAATCCACACTGACTCTTCATTATCTGAACTCAGAACAGTCAGAAAGGCCTTTTGTACAAACAGGACGTTATTGTACGGTACACATATACAATATATCTATACCAACTGTATGTGCAAGCAACACACACACACACACTGGTGAAGTCTTGCAAATGCAAGTGTCAGTGTTGTGCCCATGTGTGCATGCGTGTGTTCACTCCTGCTTGTGTGGGCGTATTTATCAGACTGAGTGACATACTTGCTGTCCAACTTGTCAGCAGTGGGATGAGAAGGGAATGTTATCACCAAATGATATTTTACTCTAGTTTGCCATTTCTAGTCAAAAAATAATGGCCCATCATCTCCTCTTGAATGAAGATAAAAAGCGCTTAAGGAAAGTGACAGGATCAGCCAATGACATGATTGGCTTCACCATCCCCACACTCCCAACCTTGCTCCTCCAACCCCCTTAAATACTTTAAGCACATAACAGACTTTTGTTTTTATAAAGCACTGACAATTCATCAGCTTATACAATTCTGAACACCAGCACTTCGCTACTATGCCGACAGACACAGTCTGACTGTCCTCTCTGATGGAATTAGACAGCGGCAGCGCTTAATGCCTTGCAGGATTATACACTGCGCAGCAGCACAGTTGCAAATGAAAGCCCTCTACGGAGCGATTGCTGCGGCTGCTGTTGTCATTCTTGCTGTTGACTAAGGCCCTCAACCTCAACCTCCTGCCTGTCAAGAGTGCTGCAGGCCCTGCTACCATGACAACCAGGTGAAGATAGAACTCATGAGTGCACTTCACTTGTGTGCTAGGAGCGACAGAGAGAGAACTGCTTCTTCCTGGGCCATACGTTTCTGTAGAGGTGGGGGCCTAAGGACACAGAGACTCTAGTTTCAGCCCAGTGCGTTGCCACAGTGCAGTGCAGCACTTGCAGAAACTGAAATGCACACCCTGAATAGCACTTGTTTAAAGAAATGCCTTCCAAGGGGTACTGAGTGTCCTGTCCTATCGCTAAATAAGTGCCACATGAGCTATGCAATGTATAGTAACCTATACCCATACTCAACATTCTCTATTAGACTGAATTCTTTTTCCATTTCTCCTTTCTCTCTCCTCCTCTCTCTCTCCAGTCCTCAACTCTTTATCAATACTTGAAATGTAATCTTTCGCTTCCTTTCCAAAGCGAATGATTGTTGTGATGTTTGCACTGAAAAGTTGCAGGATTAGTGAAACAAAAACTGCCATTGAAATGTTATTTTTATAGAAGTAAATTGAATTTTGTTTCAAATGTATTTTAAATAATGGAACCAAAGAGGCCAAGATTTTAGCTATTGTACTAAGATGGCAAGGCCATTGAGTTACTGTGTACAATACTGTTTTTGATTATTTGCAAAAGGCCTACCACTGTATCAGGGTACGATATATGATTTTCATTTCTTAGCTCTATTTTCATTCTCTGTTTTGTACAATAAGCAACACTTCATTTTTTCACCTTTAATTCTATTTTTGTTTCAGTTTTCTATTTAATAAGAAAGTTATTTTTAGTTCCTGTATAAGAATCATTTAGTCAAATAAATTTCATCTGTACAGTTTATGTAAAATAAAATGTTTTCTTAAGTATGTCGTAGCTTCAAATTCTTTTTGGCACCATGAGACCGTGTGTTTTTGTCTTGATGAGAAATGGGTTGGGCCTACCGATGAAGCTGTTGTTGTTTTTTTGTGATGGAAGCTTTGGTCTGATAACTCCCAAGACAAAAAGGTGGGGTTGAAATAACTGAGTATGGTAAGAAAAACACACGGACACTCCAGTCTTCGTCTCTACTGGTTGAAACATAAAACTTCTCTCTCCTGTTGTCTGTTGGGACTGAGTGTCTCTCTTAAGCTGGAGCCATAGAACAGTAATTACAACTGTGATTAACAGCTTCACTGGCGTCCAAAGTGGCTGCCAGCTCACCGAGCCTCACATATCTGCTTGATTCCTTTTTGGCTGCAGTGTTTATTGATGTTTTTATATGTTTGCATGTGCTCGCAGATAATTCTGTATTAGTTTGTGCCATGCAGTCTCTTACATCAGAACGCCTCTCTGTTTCTCAAGCCGGGTTTAGCAGCATGTCAACACTTTGTGCAATGGCCTGTGCCGACACCTACCAACAGCGAGATTTCGTGTAATGTTTCTGTGAGACTCCATCAAAACACATCATGTGTCTCTGTAAAATATCATCCAGATAATTGCTCTAAATGTATCTGTTAGGTTGTGCCAAGGAGCGCTATGAGATTTGTTTGCCTGCAGGGAAAATAGCATGTCAGGGAGGGATCCGTATAAATAACCTTACCTGTAGCTGGATGGATGAGTCAGCAGCTGAAGAAACAGCAGAGCGTCTCACAGAGAGGCAAAAATAGAGGGAGAAAATAAAGCAATATTTACGGTGCATGTGATTTGACGTGTGAGACAAGAAGAGAAATGATTTGTCACAAATGATCGGGGGCAACTGAGGCTGTTGTTAATCTTCTTCGTGGAGCCCACACCTCTGCAAACAGCAGCCTGTGCTGAGAGCAGGGAGAGAGATGTGTAGCTGTCTTGTCATGCTTCCCAATGCATGCCAAAATCTCCACAGCTGGAATGTTAATGACGCTGAGCGAGAGCTGTAGGCCATTAAGCGTGCTGCTGTTCACGGCTGCAATCGGGGCCACACACTCGCACAGAAAAACAACATCATCACATGATGTGCATCCACACTCTTTCCATCAATAATCACTTGCACAAATCCAGTGCTTAATATGCTCTTGTGCAGACGTGTGCATGTGTGTGTACATAACTACGCTCGCTGACACGTATGCTCATTTCTAAAGTCAGGCTCATGCCTAAATACGCACTATAACCAAGACACCTAACACAACTATTTATGCACACACAGAAACACACACATCCTCTACAACCCCTAGTTATCAGCTTAAACAAATATTGTCCCCCTGCCCTTCTACTTCTCATACCGCCGCAGGTTGAGGTCATGACAGCCGCCAAGTTGACGGGGTCAACTGGTTTATCACCCCAATAAAGTTTGTTCTTCCAAATCAGCCAGGTCCACATTCAATAATGAATTTATGACTGTTCATCGCCTGGGGCCTAGAATTTCTCTGCTTCAAGTTACTTGTCTTTGGCTCTGTGGTCTGGAGGTGTGTGTCGATGATGAGTTCTCTGATCACTCACATATCTTCCATCAGTTTTAGAAATGTATATTTTCAACTTCTCAAAGATATTTCTCCTCAACCTGTGATAGCAGTCCTTTGCACAGGATTGACAGCTTCAGTTCACTGAGCTAACACAATATGAGTCCTATTCCTGCTGATTAGAGCCTGACCCTTTGTTTCAGCTTCTAAAGATCATGTAAAGGCACTCTTATTCTACGGATTTATGGCAAGGGCCCCCTAAGACAGGAGGCTTATTCCAGCCCTGTTTACTTCTTCCAACAACTCAAAGTGACATTTTGACCTTTGGAGCAACATGGACTGTGGTCCCGGAAAGCTCGCTCTCTCAGGCGGATTACTGGAGGAGAAGAAAGGCTTTACAACTTGAAAGCATATTTTTCCGCACTAATGAGCGAAAAACGTCATTAATCCAAACATTCTTTATAGCCGCATTCTGTATTTCTCCCTTAATATTTTGTCCTCCCTCTTTATGGCACTGTTGCTTTAATAGAAGCAACAATAACAGGAAATACTAAAGATATTGTTTGAATAGCAGCGCAGCAGCTTCTCTAACTAATATGACAGTGAACCCTCAGCTTTGTTTTGTGACTTCTCAAGAAGGGAATAATCCTTCACTCAGTCATTCAAAGTAACTGGGGAGTAGGGTGCTCATATAGTTGACAGGTACAGCATTCAGCTTTAACACAGCCTAAGGGCCGTTACCAGATCAGTAAATATATTCTCTCTCTCTCATGAACACTATCGTGAAGGAGCTGATGGGGTCAAAGTGGCACCGTGTGTGTTGTATGTGTGTATTTTTGTGAGTCCACAATGTCATAATGTCAGGGTTGTTCCTCCCCAGTTTAGAAAAACAACTGAGGCCTTGTCACCAAAATCAGCCCCCCCCAAGAACTATATCTCCCCGTCAGCCCGTAAACCTTCTCACCTCCTCACCCCGCCTTCCACCATCCTGACCTCCTGACTCCCAGAGTACAGAAGGCACACTCAGCGGCCACAAAGCCCTTATTTGTGTTGTCTACGGTGGCTAGTGCTAACCTAAGAATTACCTCCACTCACCTTTAGTACAGAAGTAAAGCAACACGGCGCTGGCTGTGTGAGAGCCAGACACTGGGAATGATGGAGGCAGAGGAGGAGGTAGGGGGGTTGGAGAGTAATGGTGCAGATTAATCTCACCCATGGTTTGTTTTTTTTTTCCTCTGTATAAGGTACCAGATTTAACTTTCTCCCTAGCAGTCTCAGCTGGATGGTCCAAATGTAAAGACATGATATAAAAGTACACATAAATAATTTTTTAAACTTCAAAACACCAGACCTATGTGAGTTGTTGACACAATCTGAGACAGGTTTTGAATCACATCACAATTTCCCAGAGGCCAAAGTGAAGTCTTCATTTGTCCAACCAACAGGACACCACAAAGATATTCAATTTAAAAGAACATATAACTGAGAAAAGTAAACCAGTATAGTGAAAAACATTTTCAGATTTCTGTTTTATTGCTGTAGATGAATGAATGGATTAACATTATGTTACAAAATCTACTATACAATGGCTATAATAAACCACATGCTGTGTGCAGTATTTGTGTTTATTTGGAGTATAAACAGAATTACTATGGATTTACTTGAACATGATGTACCTCTATAATCAACAACTCTTCTCTCCTTCTCCACATTATTCAAGCTTTCAGACATTACGCTATTGTTTTCCCTCCTGGAACTGTTGACAAGTTAAATCTAGCTTACTGATGGTATTTTGGACCGATGAAGGATATTTTTTTACATCCCTCTAAAAGGGAAAGGAATCCTCGTGACTAATGTCCTGTGCGCTCTTGGGAGTTAAATGTAGAACCAGTATGTAAACAGTCTGGCTTTTGTCTCGGAGGAGCATACTTTCTGTGCACATTTAAGTGACATAGTGTATGTGATAGTCATCCAACTGATAGCAGCAGTGGTGGCAGCGTTTGTGAATGGACCTTGTTATTACACCTTTATAATAAACACGACTGAAAGGAGAAATAAAAGCCCTGTGTGTTGATAGCCAACGTTCTTCCTTGTGCACCTTGTGTGTATGTGTGCACTTGTGTTTGACTACTTTGTGTGTGTGTCAGAGGGGAAATTCCAGCCAGGGGGATATAAGGTGTGGCTGAGGATCATCTCTGACCACTTAAAAGCGGGGCCATCATCAGCGTTCCTGTATGACTCTCAGCCCCAGCTGCATTTCTCACTGAGGGCTCATTATTCGGGCAGGTGCCCTATTGTCCCATCTTTGCGGGCCTTTTCATGAGCATACCAAAAACACAACACCAAAAAATGCAGGGAGGAGGAGGAGGAGGTGGTGGTGGTGAGAGGGGAGGGGGGTGACCTGAGTCAGGCTGAAGAAGATTCACAAAAACCATCAAAAGAAGAGAGGAACCTTTGTTGAGAGAGCACACATAACTGAAGAACAATGGGTTTACATGTTCGGGGGTTAGAGCAGTTGGATGTGGTGATAGTGGCCACTATAAAGGGGAGAAATTCAGAGACACTGATGTGAGGAAGAATGTTTTTATGATGGGGTAAACCACAGCAGCAGTGTGCCCCAGTTCCCCTTAACTTGACTGTTTTTTGTTCTCTTTCTAGGTCATTTCTGATGAATTTCACTCTGTATTGTCAGTGTTGAAGAAATGACATTGTTGTGAGGGCACTAACATCCCCTGCTGTGTGTGTGAGAGACTGTGTGTGTCTTTGTATGACCTCATGGGAAAGTCCTTTTGGTCTGGAGTAAATAAAACAAAGGAGCTGTTGACAGATGTTTCAATAATAGAAAAACAACTGATGCTCTTGTGTTGTAATCTGGCAATGCATGAGTGTTTGTGAGTCTTACTTGTGTCTAGCCAGCATCGTAAAGATACACACACACACAAACACACACACACACATACACACACATGCAATGTGACACACATGGGAACAGATCTTGGAAAAAAGGCTACTATATGATTTACACTTTATTGGTGTTAGATTTACAGGCTACTGGGTGGGAACAACTTGAGTCTAAAGGGAATGAGCAGAAGTTCTTGTAAGCATGCAAAAATAAATGTGTTTTCATGTGTGAGTGTATAGACCCCATATATCTGCACTGAGGAAATAAGATAAGATAACAAGTCCTTTATTAGTCCCACAATGTGGAAATTTGCAATATTACAGCAGCAAGAGTCAAAAAGACATCAACAAGTAATAAATAACATCCAATACTTAAGTGTAAGGAATATAAAAGATATATAGAAATATAGAAACATATGAATGTAATATAAATAGCCTTCCTTAGAGAAGGAAAACAATGCTCCACTCTTCTCC